ACTTAGATTACTATGGTTCTTCCCCTTTCACTATCCCTCGATGGTTGTATTATTCCAAGGCTGTTACCGTGCTTGGGGTAGTTTTTGTCATTTTGATTTTGAGTGAGATGGCTTCCATAACACAGACATATTTTCAATGCTGGATGTTAGGTTCCTGGATCAATCAATCAATTTCTCAAATTGCAATCATGTGTCCCATTCATAGGTTGGGAAGGTATGAGATTCCCTTCAGTCTCATGAACTTGAGGGGAAGATGGTATGATCCTCTTTCCTACCCCACCAGATGGCTTGGTTTTGGATTGTAGTTGACTTGCCACCAGTATGATCCTATCCCCACATGGATTTTGGTTATCAGTGCCCTGGGTTTTGGATTGTAGTCAACTTGCCAGTGGTATGATCCTCTTTTCTACCCCCACATGGATGTCAGTTCCTGGTGGCCGGGTTTTGGATTGTAGTTGACTTACTGATGGTATGATTCTCATCCTACCCCCTTGTGGATGTCAGTTCCCAGTAGCCTTGGTTTTGGATGTAGTTGACTTGCTATGTAAGGTCCATCGCACCCCAGCCACTCTACACCTGGAGGCACATCCTTTTACTCTCACCCACATTTATGTATTATGGGATTGAGATTCATGTATAGTGTGGTTCGGATCATTATCCAACCATATTTCTCTTCCTATTAGATATGTTACTCCCTATTTCCACCCATATCTGTGACATATTTTTTCCACACTGGACGAATGTATACCAGATACAGAAGTGGTGCAGTCTCCCACGTATGATCTTTGCCTCCGAAGATCCTTAGGATGCTTTTGAAGGATGCTTCTTTCTTTCCCTCACACTGGTCCCTCCACCTATTCAATGTGGAATTCTAGCTATTTATATGTAAAGAGGTAATTTATGGTATCAGAAGTTGTAATTTTCCTATACTTAAAATGCATTTCTGATAAGTAATACTTCTTTTCACATTTCCCACCCTTCATCCCCACTAAAAACCAGTGCTTCCATTTTTTGCCTAAACTCTAAGTGATAGTGTGGTAGAATTGAATAGAGGGAGTCACATGTGTCAAGAGAGTATGTCCCTCTCTTATTGGTGGAGGGTTGTTGCATGTGAGACACATTGGAATCAGTCAATTCCAGATGGGTGGAAACATCAAGGCTTGTGGCATTAGCAAAATTTTTTTGCATATAGAGGGCAGCACTGAATGAGAATAGCTATTTAAGTGAGAGGAGGTAAGTGCCTATCGGAAATACATTTTCAGTTTGGGAAAATTATAACTATTGTGTTTTCTACCATTCTATGTGTGTATTGCCTTTTTGCTTCTACTCTCATATTATATAAGTTTACAAAGGCTTGATGGCTATGGAAATGGCATTTTCTTAACTAGGAAATAAGTCAAGAGGAAGAGATGGTCACAGAAGAGAGATGGTTTTATGAGTGAGTTGTCTCATTGCTGACAAAGACTCATGAAGGAGAAATGCCAGAATCTGTTGCAACAAGAACTGCTGATAGAGTTTTCCTGAAGATTAACCTCAATGCAATAGAAGCATGGATGATTGAGGGTCATCGAGGTGGTATAGTGTCTGGCAAATCTCAGACCAAATGGTACATTCTGTAACAGTCTCTTAGGCCTTTGCAGCCAAAGACTAGCTGAAAGAGACTGTTTCTGTACATCCTATTTTTCCTGTATTTAGTTTATCCTGGCCCTCACTATTGTCTTGTCCTAGTTTAAAACTTCCCTTATAGATGAGTTAATAGCCTTTGCAAACAAACCAGACCCTACCCTATTTAAGTGTAAACCATCCATTCCAAAAAAACTCACTTCGCCCATTGAACTGATCCCACAAGTCCAACCAGCCAATATGCTCATCTTTACATATTAACTTAAGCCTAGCATTTAACTCTAATGACTTTCTCATAATTTCATTCCCACAATTAATTCTTGGCAGTATCCCTGATACAATTAAGTTATGGTCTTATTCTTTAAATGTCTTTATAAACCCCTTGTACTTACTTATTAGCTTCTCTGACCTACCTTTCCCTGGATTATTAGCTCCTACGTGCACAACATAATTTAATACTTTTCTCCCTATTTACCCCACAGACTATCCTATCCACAAGCCTTGTCAAGGAATCACCTATAACTATAACCTCTTTAAGTTTATCATCCACATCCTTCTCTGACTTTTGTTTTCCTTCCCTCCAATATTTCCTCATCTGCACAAGCCAAGAGCTGAAATTTGTTGCTCAATAGAATATGCTCATTACAATTAATTCCACTACTATTAATCCTAATAGTACTCTTTCTAACTTCCTGAAAGTTATTGTTAGCTGATGTATCCTTTGCATGTAAAAGCTTAAGCTCCTCATGAAATTCTTCTGCCATTTCCCACAAAATGAATGCAAAGGAAAGACAATGTAAATTTTAGTGGATTCTAATTGTCAAGATCAACGTTTGGTATCACCTAACCTGAATCAGCTCATGTGTAGGACTCAGTTCTGAAATTTTGACCCTAATTTTTCCCTCCTGGAATCTGACTCTGTTTACGTAACAACTAGTTATTAGTAGAAGTAATTAATAACAGTTGAACAGTAAGCATGATGGTCATTGTCATGAGAATGACAACAGGGTGCAACATGGCTACTGATCCCATGTTCTATGGGCAATTAGAGCATGAGATATGAGTCCCATAGAAATGTTGTTTGGCCAAGGGGATCTATTGATTACTTTGTCTCAAAAGGTAGTCTTTAGAGGGGAATAATTGTTGAAACTGGACAGTTATGACCTTTTTCAACCTATGCACCTAGCTCATCTTTTGTTATATTGGAATTCATCTGACCTTGTATTTTCAATCTAGACTTTTGTTATTTGTGATTGAATTTTTGAACATTTGATCTGTCTGTGTTGTTCTTCAACTAGCTATTGAAAGGATATGTAGCATACTCTGACAGTATTCTGAAGTACAAAGAAAAAGTTTAGAGATCTCATGATCTGACTGCAACTGACTTTGAGCCCATAAAGGAGGGTATTCTACTGGCAGGATCCGCCATTATGCTGATTTCACCAGACATTGCAGTGAATCATGGAAGGTAAATATGTGAAGGTGAAACATTACTAAAATTTTGACAACTCCCAGCTAGGAACTCAAAGTGCCACAAGGAAGTGTCCTGCATTGACAACAGAAAGAAAACTATGGTTCTGGCAACTTCAGGATAGGAACATGACCAACCATAGGAAATGCCTTAGGCCCAAGTTATCAGAAATGACTCTTTTTATGTGATTTCCCATGGGACAATTGAATCATCACAATGCAGTCAAACTCGAACGATTTTTCTGTGTAGATAGTGAAAAAGAAAGGTAAAATCTGTCTCAATTTCATGATGGAACTTACTTTTGAAATGGTGTATGGACTTATGGTAAATTAGAATGAACTATAACTTTATCATTTATTAAGTTATTGTTTTGTAACTCCTACATGTGCCAGCTGTTCCATAGTTTAGCCTACACATGTTACCAAGAGATCTTTGATCAAGACATTAAGCCACAAAACTTACCTCTTGATCCACAGACAGGAGCTCTAAAGTTCCTTTGAGTAATCAGACACTTCCTTATTTTTATTACTTGGTGAATATTTATGTTTCAAATGGTAAATTTTTTATATTTTAGCTGCAATGTTTTGTGTACTATTTTTGGGGTGATGTGTAATTAGTTCTTGTGTATATGTATATTTTAATAATTTTTTGTATGTGTGTGTGTACAAATCGAAGAAGCTATTTATATTTGAATGCTACTTTACAGGGTAATTTCATTTTTCATTGTATTGATTTAAAATGTTTATTTTTGCTATTGTGTTGAAGGGTTAGTTTTGTTGCTAAATTGATTTTATTTTTATGATATGTGGTGCTCTTTATTTTACTTTAAATGTTTTGTTTTGCAGTTATTTGTTTATTGTGACATAACTGTGATATTAGTTGTTAGAAGGTTCACTTTTTCTGTCTTTGTTCTACTGTTTAATGATTGATAAGTATCATTGTTAAATGAATTTTTAATAATATGATGCAAATGAATATTTTTCCTTAGTTTTTTGTGCCATATTTCTATGTTAAAAGGTTGTGACATCTGTGTTGTATGTAAATGTTTACAGCAGAGAGAGAAAGTTAGCACATTCTCCAACCAGAGCTCAACTTTAAAGTTTATTCATTTTAGGTTAAAATTAATTTTTAGCTTGAGGACAAGCCTGAAATAGGGAAGAGAGGAAATGTGGTAAAGATTGTTTCATCTTGGTTTTATGTCCTCCCTCTTTCTTTCTCAAACTCAGTTATGGTCAGATAACTCAAAATTACTTTATTATAAGAATCTTGTTCAATCTCCTGTTATTAAGTGGACCTATCACATTTATCCAAGATTAACTCATCATTACTTGAATATGACATTCACCTATTTCTTCATTATAGAGACTTTTTTTTTGTATTTTTGAGATGAAAAATAATAATGACATAATAGCTGTCACATTGTCTGTGGACATACAACACTAGAAACCAGTTTTCAATATCCGTGGTGGACAGAGCACAGATAGCTCATTTAGTAGCTTTGTGCTTAACTTCAAACAAACAAAAGTTGTCCCATTATTTTTAGTCCTTTTTCAAATTCAGTTAGAAAAAAAAAAGTATTTCGGTAAATTACTTCCAAATCTGTAGATACCAATTTCAAGAATATATTTAAAGTATAATAGTTCTGTTTTCTTTAAAACAACAATAGCAAATCTGTTTTTGGAACAGTCTAATGTGTAGCATAAATTAAGTTAGCAAATGGTCAGTATCACAGTCTATGAATCAAAATTGTATAAAGAAAAAAAATCCATATAATAATTTTGGAAAGAATTTCTAGCAAATGTCTCTCATGCAGTGAAAATATTCCTTCAATAATCAGTTTTGTGATTTTGAAACTGAAAAGGTTAATTAAAAACAAGTTTTTATTTCTATGGCTTGTATCTTTCAGATTCTTTTACTTCTAGCATTGGCTTGTTTCAGTATGACTCTATGTGGATTTTGGATTTTATTCATTCCTGGTTAGTATTTGATGATATTTACTGATATTGTTACATTAGATAATCATATGTTAATCATGATTTAAAAAAGAAGCTGGTGGACCATTGGAAACCAATAGGCCTAAAATTTGTAATAAAAACCATGGTAGTTGCAGTGTGCATATGTTTTTGTTCCACATTTAAATGATTTGTCCGACTAATAAGTTTTGGTATTGAAAAAAAAGGCTATTGGGCAGTGACTTGTGGGTAATGAATATCATAATAATGAGTTGTAAGCCAATAGATCTGTACTTTGTTAATCAATTTAGGTATATAAAACTGCATTGTTTTGAAAGAAATTTAGCTGCATTTTAAATGTTTTTTTTTTTTAATTGAAATGGAACTGCTCATTGTTTTCTTTCATCAGAGAGTCTCCTTCAGTAGAACTTGTGGATACCTTTCATCACTTGTAAATGAGAGTGTGCATCCTCCAAGATACAAGTGCACCTAAACATTGATCTTGAGCCAGTTTTACCAAAGCATTATCCTGGATTAAAACTAATTAAATAACCTAGATGTAAGATACTTATTTTTTAAAAAACATTATCACAGAAAATAAATATACTACTTCCCATCGTTGCAAACTTCAAAAACAAAGTGGGAAATGAGACAGTATACAAATAAGTTTTCAGGATTAGTTTTTGGTAGTGTATTATTAAAATTTCCATTACTATATTATTACATAACTTTGTTTGGGAAACCAGTAGAAGTTAAGACTATGGATACAAACAGAGTTAATTTTGTTTAAACTTTTGCTTATTTCTTCAATGCTTACTCAGAAATGATCTCTTTTTTTTTTTTTAGTGCTGTTAGGACGTACATTTCTTTGTGGAATACTTGGAAAAGCAAACATCCATGATATATATACAATTTCCTGTGGCTTATCTATTATATGGTTGGGTTTCAGACTGGTTCTTTTTCTAGGACAAAAACTGATGAGAAAGTAACTTATCATGTGGCTTGTTGTTGTAAGTATAATGTGAATTATAACATCACAAATGGTCGTTTGTTTTCTATTTATTGCAGTACACTCTGTGTCTGAAACTTTACAACACTTGTTTGTTGTATTAGTTTCTTCCATTTTATTATCATTAAATTAGTCATATCTCAGTGATTGAAATACACTAATGAAGAATCCAATTTAAATGTAAAATGCATAATATTTGTAAACACAGTTCTTGTAACAAGTGTATTGTAATAATTAAATCCTAAGGAAGTTGCACTTCTGCCATTCTTAAAAGGTAAATTATTAAATTTGAATATCTATTTTATTCATAAAAGAATCACTTCTTTAGTACTAAAAATTGTAATTGTATGTTAGTCATTGTGAAAAAGTTTCTCAAAAGAGTAACCTAAATAAATGTATAATTTTTATTTTCAACAAGACAGAAAACGTGGAGCTTTCTTCTCAGGTTTTAGCCTGTATCAGTTTAGCTAGGAGCATAATAGAAAATCTCATCTAGTGGAGCTCTCTTGTCAGCTGAAGACTGGTTTCAAGCTGTATCAGTTTAGCCAGGTTTAATATGGAAAGTTACACTTTAGTAATGTAATCATCTTTGCCAATTCAATGGCTAATATAACTGTGCTTCTGCTACCTCAAATGTGTTTTACTTACTTACTTACTCACTTTATTGACAAATTTACAGCCATAAAAGATAAGTAACCAAACACAAAAAATGATTAACAAAATAGCTAGACAAAAAAAATATATATATATATTCAAAAACATAATTACAGACTTTTGATTTAATTAACCTAAACTAAGGGTGAACCAAACATCTAAGTTCTTAACAATAATAAATTAGATATTAATTAAAAAGTAAATTTACATCACATGACTACAAGTCGATATGGTATTTTTTGTATATTTTATGAATAATACTTGCTGAATAAATTATTTGTTACATTTATGAAAATGATCTAGATGAAACTTAGTGTATATTCCACTTGTATTAAGTACATCAAAGAATAATGTCACAAATATGAACTTTTCTGATCTGAAATTTTAGATTAATGAGCTGTAGTAAAAACTAAAATTTGTGTTAGAAACAGCATTTAAATCCATGTTGATGAAGGAATACATTTTCTAGGTAATCATTTTCTTATAGTGCTTAGTCTTATCATATGATATGTGTGAAATGAATACATTTTTATCCTCTAATGTTTTTGCTGGAGGATATAACTAGAATTTTTTAAATATGATGGAAGTGAAGTGTATACTATTTAATCTGTTTCATTAGCAGTTTATTTTTAGTAATGTGAGCTATTCAAATGCCTTTGTATGTCTGTCATAGTGAGGAAAGGTCTGTTGCTGTTATGATGTCATAATAGGTGGGCAAACAACGATTTATAAGAATAAGGAATAATTTTATTGATGGTGGAGCATACTACATGTTTTTACAGAACATTGATCTGTCTTCAGGTATGATAAGTACTAAGGAATACAAAGTTCATATATTGTTACATAGTTAAAAGGCACAAGGATTAAATGTGATGGAAATGGTGTTTGCCTACCTATTATTATATTAACATAATGTGCTTCCTTATGCAAGTATGAAATGTTATAATGTGTTATAATCTTCTCCTTTGCAATGACCTTAATTACAGCTGATTTGGGTTGGCTGATAACTTCGGAAGCCAAGAATTTTTACATCCAGGTGGCTGGCCCAGATGGCAACTATATGGGACAATGTTATAATGTGTTATACTGCAGTCCCTATTATAAAACTCTATACTACTTATTCATCATCAGTATAACTTGTTTTCTTTTGATGTGTTCTTATAACCATGTATTTATGTTAAAGTACATTTGTACTTTATTTTCCATCCAGTTGTAATATTTTAGTGCTTATAACCAACTTAATGTTTGAAAAAGAAAACTGAATTCTGTAGAACTTGGTATTTTCATTAATTCCCTATTACACTTCAGTAATGTTATATTCATTAACAGTATTGGTTAGAATGTTTAATATATCCTTTTATTGTATTTTAAATTTTTTTAATTATATTATTAAGATTGTTGCATTTTTAGTTTAGTATATGCATTTAGGATTTAACTAAATTTCTTAAGTTGCTTGAATCTTGTGAGAGTTAATTACACAGGCCTGCAAATTTAAACTTCATAAAAGTTGTTTTGGTTTTAATAATGGATTTTCCATGATTCAGCGACACAGATTTCGAAAATAATTTTCTTTTTCCTATCAGGTAAGATTGCTTATAAATGTGGAAGAAAAAAAACTTACCTAGATCAAATTATTATTTTGTTTACCACAATGAACATTTTTTGTTATTATGTTTGTTAACAAAAATACAAACAAACTAAAGCACAGGGAAGAACATTGATGTAAAACGAATATGCATCCTCATTCATCCTGATTTTTTTGTGAAATCTACGGCTTTCAGCCCCAAAACTACGTGTTGTGATCTTTCTTTTATGTATTGAGTCTAGAGCATCTCGTTTCAATGACCAGCAGTTATCAGTCATGCTGATGTTCCACCTTCCCTTATACCTCCTCTCCATTTCCCTGATATTTTGATGAAACCTTTCCCCTTGTTATTTGCTTATGGCACTGAGATTTTCAGGGAAATAGTGAATATGAGTGTAAGATATGAGCTTTCAAGCTCATATTACAAAATCTTTGGTGTTTATCAAGCATGTTATTGACAATATTTTTGTAACTTGGGACCTTTTTCTTTCCTAAACATTTGTCAATAACATCTTTAAAGGCAATCCACACTTATTTTTCAACTTTCCTCATCGTCCTCTCGAACTGTCCATCTGAAGTCAATTTCCTAATCTGAGGCCCAACAAAAATTCCTTCTTTAAGTTTTGCTTCTGAAAGAGCTGGGAATTGCCCACATAGATACTTGAAACAGTCGCCATCTTTGTCTAAGGCCTTTACAAACTGCTTCATCAAGCCCAGTTTTATGTGAAGTGAAAGTAAGAAGACTTCCTTTGTGTCAACCAAACTTTCACGTTCAATGATATTTGATACTGGTATCAGGCTGACTCTGCATGGCCATTGCTTTTTTATCTTGTGCTGATTTTGTGCTTTGCTGTCCCATTCACACAAATAACGTGGAAACTTTGTATAACCGGATTGCTGATCCTACAACATATAAAGGAATTTTAAGTATACACAAAGTAGCCAACCATGTTCTTTGTATTTGACATTATTAAGAAGTTCGAGATTTTCGTACGTTTCCTTCAGGTGAACCGAATGAGCAATAGGAACAGATGCACATATGTTACCATTGTGAAGGAGAACACCTTTTAGACTACTTCTGGAGGAATCAATGAACAATCGCCACTCACTTGGTTCAAAGACTGCAACTCCTAGCATTGCTATTAGTTGAGCAATATTGTTGCAATAAATCAGTGAATCTTCTTGCGAAAAGTATGGTATAAACTTTTTCTTACGGTTTCTGTAGCAGTAAAATGGTATCCTTGGAGAAAGTAAGTTCTTAGTCTGAAGTCTGGACCCCAAAATCTCTGAAGAATCCTTTGGAAGTCCCAAGTCTCTCATCAAATCAAGAAATGACACGTCATGAGGCCTGTTAACCGTTTATATACTAGCAGTCTATTTCTAATGGGTTCTAGAACGATCAATAAGACTCTCACGTTGCGATTGGTCTAGATGAATCTATAGCCAGTGGTTGTCAACATTTTAAACATAACAAAATGTGACCCGTTTTCGATGAAAATGATTCACGTATGTAAAAGTACATATGAGGTTTTGTGAAAAATCTGTATGTGATGGAGAAAAATGGATATCATTTTCGGATTCAGCGTACAGGATTGACTGTAGAACATGTAAAAATTTCAAGACCATAAAACCATCGTAGGCCTGTGTACTTAACTTACACAGGCATCCAAAACTTATTTGCATATTGAAATAATTCCGTCCTGAACGGAAATAAATGAGGAAATTCTGCTCGTAATCTTAAATACGACCTCCTTTCTAATGCAAATAACATACGATCGACTTAAAGCAACGTTACTCTGAAAGAACTCAAAAACAAGGCAGAGAATAGCTCATTAGAACCTGTACTATAGGGAATGAAATAGGCAACCAAGAAATCAAGATGAGCTCAAATAATATTCTCTTGTATCTTTTAGTGCTCTATAAAGTCATAATTTGGCATTTATAGTAATTGTACTACGATAATTTTTTTATATAACATTACATTTCTGAAGAATTTTATTTAATATTTTTAGATAAAACAGATAACTCACATGTATTGTAGTTGATTTTTACAGCTAGTAAGTATTGTCCTGCACACCTTAAGAAACGGGAGTTATTCTACTCAGACCAAAAATCATTAATAACTGAAAGAGTAAAAGTGCTGATATTTTCGACTTATTTCTGTATTACAGCTTGCAAAATATGATTATTTTCATTACAAAATTTGGGTTACTTAAAGTTTATTCGTTTTGAGAAAATAAATATAATAGGTTGCTGTAAATGTAATAATCAGTAATGTTTTAGTATTCTTCAAATAATGAAATTTTGGGTTTTTCATCTAAAAGTCTTAATTAGCACAGTTAAAAAATACAAATCAAAGCCTATAAACAACAGTCCACCAATTATGTGTATATATATATTCATGTTTGTATTCACTTTAAATTGTTTCGTTGAAAGACCTTAGGCTTCAAATTCGAAATAGGCTAGTGATTTTTTTATTTTTGTTGAACTGGGCTGAGAACTACACGAGAGCTATATGCGCTAGTGGTCCCTACTTTTGAAGTGATAAACTGGATGGCTATTGTAACCGAATAGTGGGATTTTTTTTTGTCACTAATTTAACGTATTACGGCTCCAGATCGGAAAGAGCAATTTATTTAACAGTAACGGGGCGTGAACCACGGATCTTCGATTCCACAGATCGCTTTCTGCCCAATAAACACAAAGCAAAATAAACCCGTTGCCGCAAAGCACTCTCTGTATTTTT